AAAAAAAAAAAAAGAAAAGAAAAGAAAAAAGAAAGAAAGTCACAGAATCCTAGACTTGGACAAAATCTACAGAGAATATCCACCATTACTTCTAATGCCATCCTAGATTGGAGATATATTTCAACAGACTTTGGAAGAGACAAAAGAAATCAAATAATAAAGTTTGATTTATCCTGGGACTAGAAAAAATCATTTATACTTTGTAGTTATACAGCATTTTACAGATTATAGAAAGTACTTTTACATCCATAACTGCATGTAAATAATTTTTTAAAAATATCTTGAATATTACTTATAACACAAAACAGACAACAAATAAATTGGCAAAAACAAAATACCTGATAGGTGTTGTCAAAACTGTCATACATGAATCTGGTGATCAAGGATGTTTTTCCAACTGAAATGAAAAGAAAAACAGGTTTGCTCAGTGAACACATTACATTGGGTTCTCAGAAAATTTTTCTACAGAGAACTGCAATTAAAGTCAATGGTAAATATTTGCAATAGTTCTACTAAAATAATTAAAAACTATATAGCCCCAAGATTGTCAAAATGACTTTCTCCAAACATAGACAATAATCTCCCAAACTAAAAGCACAAATAAACAGCATATAGTTAAAAGTTGAAAACACTCTGTTATTATATTTGACATTCCTAATTCACAAAAGGTCAAGTAGGTGTTTACTTGGTCTTAAAAAAAAGAATTAAGGGAGGCTTAGGTCCACTTCATCTAACAAATCAAAGTATAATCCTTGGGAGTAGAAAGGCAGAAGACAGTCTTAGAAGGGGTATGAGGGCTACAAGAACAACACTGTTTAAGAGTGAGAAAAAGTGGCCAGGCACAGTGGCTCACTCGTGTAATCTCAACACTTTGAAAGGCTGAGGCAGGCAGATCACTAGGTCAAGGTATCAAGACCATCCTGGCCAACATGGTGAAACCCCGTCTCTACTAAAAATACAAAAATCAGCTGGGTGTGGTGGCGCATGCCTGTAGTCTCAGCTACTTGGGAGGCTGAGGCAGGAGAACTGCTTGAAGCCAGGAGGTAGAGGTTGCAGTGAGCCGAGATCATGCCACTGTACTCCAGCCTCCAGCCAAGCAACAGAGTGAGACTCCATTTCAAAAAAAACACTGAGAAAAAGTGACATGAGAAGCTGTTTTAAAAATCATTTCAAAATCAAATACATCTCTCTGGCAGGCAATTCCCAAAGATCCATAACTTTACTTTGAATTTTAGGTTAATCCATATGAAAGTGTGACAAGGTCAAAAGCAGTGGAATGCTGGCAATTTCTTTACCAATGAGCACATTCTCCAAGGGCAAAAACCATATCTGATTATTTTTCTATTTTGCCAGTGGCTTGGCAATGACTCAAAATACAAAATGAATGCAAAAAATATATCAATTAGAAAGGAACTGGGTAAATCAACATCTCTAATGCTCCCCAAAATGTACTTTTTGGGCACTTAAGAACCATACATAGTCATTGATATTTTATTGTGAATTAAGTAACTTTTGATTTCAAACCAGTTTTTAGAGACCAGATCTGGCCTCTACCTATCCCCTTCTTATATGCCATATGAAAACCTGAGGAAAAAATTGGGCCAAACAACAAAAAGGCCCACAAAATTATCTACTCCAAAATGTCTTATTCAGAAGAGCCTAAAATAGCAGTCTGAAAAGAAGAGCTATAACTAGTTTCCCTAGATGCCAGCCAAAAGCAAAACTGATGCTTGGGAAGAAGACACTTTTTTTTTTTTTTTTTTTTTTTTTTTTTTTAAATTTTTTTGCTGTGTAGATATTTTTTTTTTTTTTTTTTTAAGAGACGGAATCTCTTTGTCACCCAGGCTGTAGTGCAGT